TATATATATATAAACAAACTTGCTTAGAAAGCTCAAGTTGGCAAGTAGTAAGACGAGGTCCACCTTTTATGCCGTCCAGACAATTGCGTGCCTTTTTCTCTTCAAATTCCCACCCGCAACCTAATTACAGGCCTTCACGCGACGCAATCTCTTTGTGGAAAATATGCATGACCTGACACAGTGCACTTATAACTGCAAACGACAATAAAATTTCCACGCTCCATTAGTGCAGTTGGTTGGAAATTCGGAATTTTTTTGCGGATATTTCTGACTTTTATGTTTTTTACTACCCGATTTCTCTGGTGTTGATTACAACCAATTGCGGCTAACTGCGGCAATTTGCCCATTTGCTAGAACTTCCTTCCTTTATTATTATTAGTCTTATTATTTCGGTATTTTTCATTGTTGTATTATTTGGCACATGGTGGCTGAAAGATCCCAAAAAAACCTAAAAAAAAAAAGCTTTTATAATAGGGTCCGTTCAGTTCGCTAATTCAAGTTTTTAATTCGAATTGAGATGTGATATTGTATGAGAGTTTTTTACTGTAGTAAAAAAGTCAGGTGTGATTATTTCTGATAAATTTTTACTATAATAAAACTCGAATCAGCGAAAAAAATGAGAAAAATAAAAAACGATGATGACGTTCTCGTTTGTTTTTGTTTTTTAACCATAGTGCTCGATCCAATCTGGGATTCCCTCACACCTGTGGAAGAAAACGACATCCAATACAATATTTATCTTCACTTCTACCATGTAAGCTCTAATGTTATCTTCACACTTTTCTTTTAAGGGATTTTTTCTTACTAGAAAAAATAAATTATCGATATTAAAAATTATATGTTCTATATATTTTTTAATTTAATGTAATTTTAATCTGTTAAAAATTAATCTTACTAGTAAAGAGGCCATACTAGAAAGAATATTTTCTTTTACCCTCTAATTTGTAGCCGGGATAACTTTTTTATGAAAAAAAATAGAATGGCATTGAGCCATTTACAATACAATTGCCTTTCCAAAAATAAAAAATAAATAAACAAAAAGAATGATTAAGGGGGCGTTTGGTAGAGGGATTCATTTCCTGATTCAAATCATGATTCGTGGTTCGTTATAATATTTTCTCTCATAAAAAATACACATAAATCAAAAATGATTTAAATTCTCAAACCAAACGAACCCTAAATATTTTAATGTAAATCATGATTCATAATTTAATATAATATTTTTTTTTATAAAAAATACACATAAATTAAAAATAATTTTAATTTATAAATTAAACATCCGTTAAAAATGTTTTATCTGGCTCTGTCAAAAACAAAAGCAAGATAAGTCAAAAGGAGTCAAGATTCAGGAATTTCCGCTCTCCCTTAATAAAGTCCTTACGTGGTAAAGCTATGATTGTCATTATTTTCCATTTAGTTCAACAAAATTTCCTTCTAACTTAAAATATTTAAAAGAAAAAACCGTCATACTTGCTGGCAGCAATTAGGACTTTACCTCTACGCAAGGTTCATCACAAATTTATGACATTTTTTTAATAAAGTCTTGTCCTGTGACACGCGCATCTAAGCAAAAGACTTCCACACCGCCGTATACCCGATCATGACACTTTGTCTTTTGTAAGCACTAAAAAAAATTAACAATTAAAAACTACAGAAAGAGTGGTGTTTTTAATTGTCAATTTTAACCGCAATCGTTAACTGTTTATCTCTATAATTTTAATTTAATATTATTAATTATATTTAACAGTTAGAAATTAATCAATCAATAGAGAAATAATACCAAACAAAAAAAGACTCAAAAAATCAAAATTAATGACACGTAAAGAGATAAATTTAATGGGCATCTGTTAATATTTCTATTACAGCTCATACATGAATCACGACGGACTGAGGCCGTTGGTCAGATCCCAAATGGAGACGCATATTTGGACTTTTATAAGCCATGAAATTCACATTTCCTTTCTAGAAAAATAGTAAACCACGAAATTAGTAATAAGGTCATGCAACGTGCTTGAAGAAGGAAAAGGAAATTACAAAGACAAAAAAAAACGGGGGTCTAATTTGACCAAAAATATGTATGTGGTATTAGGATTGCTGCAAGATTCAGTTCACATGACTCATCTTAAATAATAATAACGAAAACTTAATAATGTCCTTTAAGAAAAAACGAAAGAAATAGTAAAGCTCACCATTAAAGATAAATGTAGGTGTTTACTTTAAAAAAAAAAAAAAAAATTCGAGGTGTCACATTAAAGAATTAGCTTAGAATAAAACATTCTAAGAATAATATTTAGAAATACTAAGACTAAACACCATGATTAATAGAAAGTGGTGTGTCACACTATTATGAGTCTTATGTCATAAAATGTATATTTTATTAACGTCTGGAGTGTTCGATATGATTGTTATTATTCTTTTTGATATGATCTAATTTTATATAGGATTTAGTGAATTTGTGGAATGTTTTTTGGAAAAAGAGAACATTTTGTCATGTCATTATATACACTATACAACAACTCACAAGTGGACTTAGGTCGTGTTTGTTTCGGGGGAAAGAAATGGAAAGAAAAAGAAAGGGGCTTCGTTATGATATTTGCTTGACTTTTAAAAAAAGAATAATCATCATTTCTTAATATCATAGGAGGAATAATCGTACCAAACTCTTTTACTTTTTTTTTCATAATAATAATTACCATTGAATATTATAACTGCTCATATTATACTTATATTAATAATTATAATATATTATATATTATATTGTAATTATATCTTATAATAAATAATGTTTGTTATATTAATAATTTTAATATTATATATTACAATTATATTATATTATAAATATTAATATAATATTATAATTTCAATATTATTCTTGTATATATATCATAAGTTAATTTTATCAACATAAAAATATTTATATTCTATTTCATAATATTCATAAAATTATAATTAAATAAATAAATTATTTTTATTTTATATTATTACTATTATCATTTTTCGCTACAACCAAAAGTAAATTTTATTAAGTCACTATTTGAAAATTCTCATGAAATTATTCCACAGAGGAAATTGCAGTGAGAGTAGCCATTGAGGCTCCCAAGGACCCATCTCTCTCTCTCTCTCTCTCTCTCTCTCTCTCTCTCTCTCTCTCTCTCTCTCTCTCTCTCTCTCTCTCTCCCCTTATAATAAGTCCCTCCAATTCATGAAATTCAAAGTTCTAGCTTCCTTTCCAACCAAACCCAGAAATTTTCTCGGCCTCCAAACACCCCCTCAAAATGCACAATCACCACCAACCCCTCACCATGGAGATCACAGTAGTGTCGGCTGAAGGGCTCAAAACGTCGTCGTCAGCTCTCTTCGCTCACCGGATCAGACCCTTCATCACCATCTCCACGGTCCCACCAGACCCGTACTTCTCCACCACCAACGGTGATAAACGTTGCCATGTGTACAAGACAAGGGTGGATGATCAAGGAGGGACCAATCCCACTTGGGGGGACAAGTTCCGACTTCCCATAGACGGCACGGCTTTCTTCACCAACAGATATTCCGGGATAAACATTAACCTCTACACAAAAAGGCTCTTCTTGGGCCAGAGCCACTTGGGCTCTTGCCACATCCCGGCCCACGATATTGGGCTACCGCCATCCCTCCGCCACCTGAGTTACCGGCTACGGGCTAGAGACGGTTCGAGGACCCGCGGGATCATTAACCTTTCGGTGAGGTTTGAAGGTTTGGGGGGCGTTGCCGGTAACGGGCTGTCACACTCTGTGTCACCGACATTGCACGCGTGTCAGACGGTTATTGGTGTACCGGTAAGGCCGTATTCAGGTGTGAGTGGGTTACCTTCCACGTGTCGTGAGGAGTTTGGTGTTAATTGTATTGGACGGTGATAGGTGGGCCCATGATGATGTTACGTTAATCGTGAGGTTTGTGCTTTTGGTACATAAGTTAACTATGGTGGTCTGTGATGTGGGATAGTAAAAGCTTCTTCAGTGAGCACAAACCCAAGGGAAGGTCTTGTAAAAAACTGTCCTAAAACGAGTGTAGAGAAAGTTAATGCCACTAAATAGTGTGCGTCCGAAAGACAGGTGTATTTTTCTGTGACAAAGGTTGGCCCTTTTTTTAGGAAAAAGAAAATGTACAACCAATTTTCTTCTCTCTCTCTCTCTTTTCCTGTTTATTTTGTTTGGAAGTAAATGCATTTTTTCTGTGAATGGTATATATTTTAGAGTTTTCCACACACACACACACAAAAAAAAAAAAAAAAAAAAAAAAAAAAAAAAAAAAACTTGGAGAGAATGGTGTGTTTTAAACAAGTGACTTTGCTTGGAATCGGCCGAGTTGACTTGGATGACTCGGCGTTTCTGTTTTGTGACCTACCCAGTGTTGCTTCCTCTTTTTTCCTTTTTCATGTACTTAAAAAAGTACAGAAATTGCTATAGAGAAGAAAGTCACCCAATTGCCAGAATAATTGTAGTTATAGAATTATATGGGCCTCGTTCACTTTGTGAATTCGAATTTTTAATTCAAATTTAGATGTGATATTTTCTGAGAGCTTTTCACTGTAGTAAAAAAAGTTGATGTGACATTTTCTGAGAGATTTTTACTGTAAAAACTTAAAACTGAAAACTCGAATCGGTCAAATGAACGAGGCCATAGTGTGACAACTGTTATAAGATTTTGTGAGCAAATATTGCCTTTTATCGTGGCATGTGCAACAAATGAGTTGCTTCAATCAACCATTTGTTTATATTAGTAAATTATTATGTTTCAATCGTGCTGGATAATAAAATAAAGTTTAATGAACAAGAAAGTTGTTGGCATGGCACTAATGAAACAAAGAGAGGGTTATATATGGATTTTAATTAGTGAAATGATGAGAAAGCTTGAGTTTTCACTCATCCTTTGAATATTTGATGATCATTTGCTTGAGTATGTCAATGTGCACCACCATTTACAATTTCTTTTATTTTCTTAATATTTATTTATTAATGAGTATTATTATTTTAATTAAAATATATTAATTTAACAGTTATAATAAAATTAATAATTAACAAAAAAATTAATAATTAATAAAAAATTAAATTTTTATCACATTACGTTATGAAATTTTTATATTTAAAAATAACTACGAAACCTAATCTTAAAAATTCATCAAGGATATAATGGTCCACAATTCCCGTCAATAATTAATCTCACCAATATTTTTTTTGTTTTTTTTCCTTTTTTGTCTATTCCAATATGGAATAACGAGGACAATAATTGTGATGGAAGACGTTTGTGGAAAAATGAACGTGATTTTTTTTTTCCAAGATGATTGTTATGGACAATAATTGTCTATTTCAATATGGACCCACGACAACAATGTTGTCTATTCTAATAGTGTCAAGAGGAGAAGTTCATTTATGTAATTAGTACATATGCTCCGTAAGTAGGATTAGATGAAAAAATTAAACCCATTTCATTTTATCGATTTGAGTTTAAAATTTAAATTTTGTTACAGTAAAATTTTTTTAAAAATAGTTACATCTAATTTTTTTACTATAGTAAAAAGCTCTCACATAAAATCACATCTCAACTCAAATTAAAAACTCGAATCAGAGAACTAAACGGGTCCTAAAACTAAGTTTTTGGAAGACATTGATGATTTTGTGCGTAGTATAGGTAATGAGGGTAGCATTTTTATTAGATGAGATTTAAATGGACATGTTGGTAAGGATAGAGAAAACTTCGAAATGATTCACGATGGTTTTAGTTTTGGGGCTCCGAACAAAGAAGGAAAATCTATTTTGGAATTTGCATTGAGATACGACTTTGTTATAACCAACACATTCTTAAGAAAAGAGATTCACATTTAATCACTTTTAAAAATGAGAGGAACTCGAGCCAGATAGATTATTTTCTCACAAGGTACAGAGATCGTTCTCTCTGTAAGGATTGTAAAGTAATTCCTGGTGAAGCGTTAGCCACCCAACATAGGTTTGTAACCCTAGATGTGAGAATTAGGCTTTACCATAGAAGGACTAAGATAAATCACCTCCCACAAACTCGTTGGTGGCATTTAAAGGGAATAAAGAAATTGGCTTTTAAGGAGAAGTTGTTAAAGGAGGCTGCTTGGTCATGCGAAGGTGATACAAATACTATGTGGGACACCATTGCGAGTTGCATTTGAAAAGTGGCAAAGGAGGTACTAGGAGTATCTAGAGGTAAAGGCCCTCCGAGAAAGGAAACCTGGTGATGGAGTGAAGAAGTTCAAAATGCTACTAGGACCAAGAGGGATTTATATAAAGAGCTACCAAAATGTAAGGATGATGAGACTTTTATTAAGTGTAAAGAAGCGAAGAAGGAAACTAAGAGAGTAGTTAGGACCTAAATCAAGTGAGATGTGTTAAGAATGATACGGATCAGGATCTGACGAAGGATGAAGATATTATGGAGAGGTGGAAGAGTGACTTTGAAAAACTTTATAATGAAAATCATGCAATGGGGTTTGGCAATCTTAGGTACCAAGGCGAACCAAATGTGATGTATACAAGAGGCATTAGAGTTTCAGAAATTAAAACTGCATTACGAGATATGAAAATGGGGAAGGCATGTGGGCTAGATGATATCCCAATAGAGGTTTGGAAGGTTTTAGGAGAGGTTGGAATTAAGTGGCTCACTGAGCTTTTTAACGAGATACTAAAAAAGAAGCATATGCCCGATGCTTGGAGAAAAAGTATTCTCGTTCCCATCTTCAAGAATAAAGGAGATGCGCTAAATTGTAACAACTATAGGGGTATAAAGCTAATAAGTCACACTATGAAGCTTTGGAAGAGAGTTATTGAAAAGAGATTAAGAGCCACAACTACCATATCAGGTAACCAATTTGAGTTCATGCCCGGTAGATCAACCATGGAGGCTATTTTTCTTCTTAGGATGTTGATTGAAAGGTATAGAATAGCTAAGAAGGATTTGCATATGGTCTTCATAGATTTAGAAAAGGCATATAATAGAGTACCGAGAGAAGTGTTATGGTGGGTACTAGATAAGAGAGGAGTGCATATGAGGTATATCAAGGTAATAAAGGATATGTACGATGGAGTTGTCGCAAGTGTGAGAACTACTGGAGGCTACATGGAAGAGTTTCCCATTCGGATTGGCATTCATCAAGGTTCCACTCTTAGTCCTTATCTTTTCACTATCGTGATGGACGAGCTGACAATAAAAATTTAAGGTGGGATTCCCTGGTGTATGCTTTTTGCAGACAATATAGTTTTAGTTGATGAAACTATAGAGACAAACCCTTGAGACGAAGGGATTTAACTTAAGTAGAACGAAGACTGAGTACATGCATTGTAGGTTTAGTAATTTGAGAGATCATAGTGATGGAATTTCTTTGGATGGTGTGGTGATTGGGACTTTTAGGAAATTTAGGTACCATGGGTCCATAGTGCAGTGTGAAAGGGATATAGATGAGGATATTGGACATAGGATTAAGACGGGATGGGTTAAGTAGAAGAATGTCACATGAGTTTTATGTGATGATAAGATATCTATTAAGTTGAAAGAAAAATTCTATAGGACAACAATTCGCCCAGTTATGTTATATGGTAGTGAATGTTGGGTCATCACAAGACAACAAATATACAAGATGAGTGTGACAGAGATGCGTATGTTAAGATGGATGAGTGGTGATTAACGCCCCAAAGTGATTCTCACAAGCGGTCAATTGTAGCACAGAAGGGCGGTCGTATCCACAGAGAGATAACAAAATAACAAGAATGATTAATAGAATAAGAGTGTTAGAGAAAAGTGAATTAAAGAAAAATGAGAGTTTTTGAGATTTTTGTTGCAAATAAAATAAAAAGGAGAAAATCTGTAAGAAGAAAACGGTAAGGTGTCGAGATCCCTAATATTTCGTTCACCAATCCAAGTTTTGATTCACAATATTAAATAACCAAATAAATTACATCTGTATGTTGACTCCAGAAATATTATTAGTACAAGTTATCTAAAATCGACAATATATCAATCTGACAATATTGCAGTAAAAGACAATTTGTAAAATAATTTGAATAACAAAACATTGCATGACAGAATTACATAAGAAAAGCGTGACTGAACTTATATAAAAATTAACACACAATATTTTGAAAAGTAATAGAAAAGTAGATGAGATTTAATTCATTCAGATGTTGAAGTTTACAAAACAATGAATCAAAACTCCGAATTGGGTCACTCAACAGAAGTTCATCTCTAACCTCACCAAGAAAACTCTAGCCTATCTTGCAAAACATTCTCACAAGTTTTAGAGAGAAAATATGAGACTGACAGCAAGACGACAGAAAACTGAATATTAAGAGCTCTCCAAAACCTTAGGCCAACCCCTCTATTTATAGTGTTCAGAGGTTGCCTATCAAATAAGAAAATAAATTGTAAAACTAGAAAATTACAAAAGAAAAGGAAACAAAATAAAATTACATATAAATTAGGAGAAATCACATATTTGATTTGGGGAAGAAATCTGGTAATTTGCTTTGATTTTTGGGGAAGGAATTCGGATTCATCTCAAAGGGAACACGTGTCAAAGCTTGATTGGAGGGAAGGAGTCAGCCTGCCACGTGTCGCGCGTGGAGTGCAGGAAGGGAGCTGGCCGTTGGAGACAGCTGGGACCCGCTCGGACAGTTGGCGCGCGCAGAGGGAAGGAGCAAGCTGGCAGCGCAGGTGCGGGACCCATGCAGGAGAGTTGGACGTGCGCTGATGCTGTGTGGAGGGAACGCGCCAGCTGAGGGACGGGCATGCTGGGGACACGCGCGAGATGAAGTGAGGATGGCAGGCGAGCTGGGGCCTACGCGGAATGAGATAGTGGCTTGGCTCGACTTGGTGCGGCTCGGCTGAGGCTTGGCTCCGGATGGGCTGAAAATATAGCTTTCATGGCTTTTTCTTGTGTAGCCTTTTACACTGCTTTCATCTGTAAATAATTAAGTAAAAACTAGACAAATTTTAATTAAATATTATGAATAAAAATAATGAAATTGCTTAATTAAAGCTTAAATATTTTAATATTATATAAATCAAAAGTAGTATTTATGGTGCATTTTCATGCACCAATCACAACCCCCAACCAGCTTATTGCTAGTCTCTAGCAATCCAAGCGCAAGAGAAATCATGTCACAA